CCAAACAAAAGACAGGCATATGAGCTGAACATTTACATTAGGTAGATACACTCCTTGGAGAGATCAATCATGGGAGAATAGAAGGGCACAGGGAGAAAGCTTGGTGTGGGGCATGCATGAGAGGGAAAGACACAGGGAAGAGGTACCTATGGGGAGGAAGAGGGAGGGGAGCTATTGCACTCTAGGAAATTGCACTCAATGTCATGAGACAAAGTGTATGTGAGCTGCTGTATAGTAAGTGAATTTGCTCTGTAAACTTTCACCCAAATCACAATAAATATTTTTAAAAAGGTGGGGGGCAAAAGCTTAATAGTCATTTCACAAAAGAAAATACTCAAATGTCCAATTAACATATGAAAAAGTGCTCAACTTTGTTACTCATCAGGCAAATGCAAATTTAAAGCATAATATCATACAACTACACACCCACCCAGGGAGAAATATGTGGCAGTCTGCTTTCAGAAAGGTTACAGCTTTGGAAACTTTATGGGGCAGTTCTATCCTGTCCTATAGTGTTGCTATTTTGGCACACGACAACACACTCACCAGAACAGATAAAATTAAAAAGCCTAATGTCAGCTAGGACGTAAAATAACCACACACTATTGGAGGGAAGGCACTTTGGTAAAATCATTTTGGAAAACTATTTGGCAGAATCTACCAAAGTTCATCATACACATATCCTTTGGCCCAGCACTTCCACTCATAGATATATGCTCAACTAGACATGTATGAAGGAGCTTTGGTGGTGTAGTGGATAAGGCATTTGACTGCTAACTAGAAAGTCAGTAGTTCAAACCCATTAGCCACTCCACAGAAGGAAGATGGCACAATATACTTCCATAAAGATTTATAGCTTCAGTAAACCAATGGGGGTCTCTATGAGTTAGAATTGACTTGATGGCAGTGAGTTTGTTTGTTTGTTTTTTTCCCCAGACACATATGAGGACATTTATAGTAGCACTATGCATAATGGCCAAAACCTAAAAGAGTACCAATGTCTGTTAAAAACAGAATGGACTGTAGTATGTTCAATGAAACACTGTATAGCAATGGGAATACATAAACTAAAGCTAAACAAAATAAAGGAATGAATCTAACAAATACAGTATTGACCAAAAGATGGTAGATACAAAATATACATACTATATGATTTCAATTATTAAAAAAATGCAAGAACAGGCAAAAGTAATCTATAGTTCTGGAAGTGAGGGTAATGATTATTACACTGGTGCAAGTGGAGGGAGTGACTGGAAGAGCATGAGAGGATTTCTGAGATGCTGCTATTCTCTGTCTTGATCTGTATACTGGTTACATTATGTATTTGCTTTGCAAAAATTCATCAACCCATACCTTCTTATATTTGTACTTTTCTGTATGTATGTCATATTTTAATAAAAGTTTACTTACAATGTGGAAAGTGTTAAATTAACAAGTGTAAGGTAAGAAAATAGTTTTTAAAAAAAAAACACAATTCCACTCTCCTGACTAAAACTTACTAGTAGTTGCAAGTCGATTAATAGTATTCCAGGATCTGCGGATATTCTCTGAACAATATGGGCCACTTTTCTTAAAATCTCTAGTTACAATCTCCATAAATATACCACATGGTACCAAATCCTCAAACTGCCAGATAGGAGCAGAGGCTGCAAGAGCTCTAAATGGTATGGAAAACAAGGAAAGAGAGAGAAAAAAAATTGTAACTCACCTAATCCAAAATTTAAAATTGAAACTGAGATTGAACAAAAATGGTAAGAAAAATAACATACCTATTAATGAGATAGAAACTAGAAATTTCAGTATAATAGAATGGGAAATGTCTTACCCAAAATGAATCTCTAAGTTTGCCTTGACAATCATGAAGAAGGGCTCATGTTCAACAGAAACACACTCACCCAACCACTAAATGAGGATATTTCATCCTGAACCATGCCGCAAGCATGCCACCGTAAGAGCCCCCTAGTGCAATGACAGGTTGGTTTTCAGCTCCTGGGATTGTTCGTCTCAAGTGTTTGATTAACTCGGCAAAATCAGCCAGAGCTTGTTCTGATGTCAGAAAATTCAAGTGTCTGGAATCCTAAAGAAAATTAACAAAGAACATGTGTATAAGTGTGTACATAATAGCAGCTTAGCATAGCATAGATCCAGGAAAGAGCCAGAGTCAGATAAGCTTTTCTCCAAATAGAATTTCTAGGCAATTGAGCTCATATGCCCAGTCAAAGCAGCAGCAGTTTTGATCTAAACAGCTCATGAAAAGATGGTTTTAAGTTTAACAACATAATGTATCTTGCATTCAAATGTAATTTCTACTAAATGCTATTTAGTATTGAGGCTGTAGAAGCAGTATAAAAAACATAAACAACATTTAATAGCAATACGACTGGGGAAAAAAAATCTAAACTTAAAAGACAACTGCTATAGGATACTCTTGTTTCAGATCTTGGTATACTTAAAATGGCTAACAGGTTGACAAAAGTAAATGAAATCCTGTGCAAAATTGAAGTAAGAATCATCAGTAAAAATAACTCATCTTTCATCATGAGAAAGATACCAACAACCTGGAACAATCATGTCTGCCTGCTTGCCATAAACAGCTATGAGACTGGGGGGAAGAAACCATACGAAGCAACTATTTGCAGGCTTTGGCTTTCAGGCAGTTTAAGAAACTGATTCCTGAGAAGGGAAATTCACAAAGTAAGTTCCAAAATCATCTAGCTCTCTGCCTGGGATCAATTTCCCTACTGGATTGTAGGGAAGTATAGCTCCAACAGAGAGACCTGCTGAGATGAGAAAAGCTAAGGACGTGTTTTTAAAGTAAGTTCATGAATTCTTGACAATTCTCCTATCAAAAGGTGAAACCTAATTCCCTTCCCTTTTAACTTAGGCTGGACTTAGTAACTTGATTCTAATGAACAGAACATAGCAGGAATGACTTCCAAGGTTATGTCATAAAAAACATGAAAAATGCATTAGGCACTACACCACCAGAGCTCCCTCAACTGTACAAAGTACCATGAAAACTGGAATAAAGAATAGTGACAGTGAAGTAGGAGGTAAGAAGTAAGGAAGCACACATCTTTGATAACAGGAAGGCTAAATGAATAGGTGACATATGTTCTTGTTCTCCTGGATTGCCAACTTTGCGGAAGTTAGTACCATATCATGAAGACACTCAAGTAGGCCTTTGGAGAAGTCCAGGAGGAGAACTAAGGCCTCTTGCCAACATTCAGCATTAGTTTGTCATTTATGTGACTGAGTCTCTTTGGAAGTGGAACCTCCAGCCCCAATCAAGCCTTCAGATGACTGCAGTGCCAGCCGACATTTTAACCTCATGAGAGTCCCTGAAACAGAACCACCCAGTTATGCTACTCCAAATCCCTGATGCACAGAAACTATGAGGTAATAAAATGATTTTTGCTATTAAAAAAAAAAAAAACCCACTGACGTCAAGTCAGATCCAACTCACAGCGACTCCTCCTTGGGGTTCCGAGGCAGTATCACTACGTAAGTAGATTGCCCAACCTTCCTTCCGAGGAGTGGCTGGTGGGTTTGAACCGCTAGCCTTCTGGTTAGTAGTCTCATTCCTTAGGCACTATGCCACCAGAGCTCCCTTTGCTATTTTAGGCCACTAAATTCTGAGGTAATTTGTTCTGCAGCAATAGGTAAATAATACAGCTATCCACTAATATTAGGCTATCCTCTGTTTGACCTTTATGCTTTAGTTTCACCATTTTGTTTAACTCCTTTCATCATTTGGCACATTCCTGAATCACACAGTTCCCATCTTACCTCTTTTCTACATATGTCACCTATTCATTTAGCCTTCCCTTTATCAAAGTGTATACTTCCTTACTTCTTACCTCCTTTCTTACTGTCACTATTCTTTACTCCAGTTTTCCTGGTACTATATACAGTTGAGGGAGCTCTGGTGGCATATTGCCTAAGGCATTTGACTGCTAACCAGAAGGCTGGCAGTTCAAACCTACCAGCTACTCCTCAGAAGGAAGACTGGGCAATTTACTTCAGTAAAGATACAGCCTCAGAAACCCAATGAAGGGTCACTATGAATCGGAATTGATGGCAGTGAATTTGGTTTTTTGGGTTTTTTTTTTTTATGTACGGTTGAAGGAGCCCTGGTGGCACAATGGTTAAGAACTTGGCTGTTAATCTAAAGATCAGCGGTTCAAACCCAACAGATGCTCTGCAGGAGAAAAGACCTGGTGATCTGCTCCTGTAAAGACTGTCCCCTAGGAAACTCTGTAGGGCAGTTTTACTCTGTTCTATAGAGGCATTAGGAGTAAGAATAGACTTGATGGCATATAATGACAACATGTATACTTGAAGGCAATTGTTTTCCCCAATCCTTGCATAGTATTTGTAATACCCTTCATGCTACTGACAAATTCTGTGAGCACATACATGAAGGGAAAGAGAGCCCTTACCTCCATTTTGCTAACAGAAAATGAAACCTAGGGACCCGGGGGAGGGGGGGGATGTTCCTATCTGCAAGAAGCTGACTCCTTTCCAATGGCTTCAGACCTATCAACTCCCTAATTAGATATTCATGCAAGATAATAAGCAAAAGGATAGAATTTCCCATGAAGCCTGCCAAATATCAGCAAATTGTTCTGCTTTCTATTTATAACACAAGGACACATTTTATTTATTTTAATTATAAACTTTTGAGAACAAAAATAAAAGCTCCTTTGAAAACAGGCAGCCTAGAAAATGATTGGCCCCAGTTTTTCTAGCTCAGAATTTCTCAAAAGCATGTGTATGTGTATGTTGGTGGTATGCAAAATGATCATAGGTAGGACATCAACATGTTTTTATTTAATACTTATCATTTTACTTCAATGTTAATTAGAAAAAGTAACTAGTACACAAAGCCCTTGGTTTTACCAATATCATTGCTTAAGATAATAGTAAGTTTGAAAAGTAAGCTGTTTAAAGAAAAATATAAAGTAAATAACAATATAAGTAACAAATTGATATAGCCAGAATAACAAAGGTGCCACATGTGTGACCCAGTTAAGAAAGAAATTTGCTAGTTCATTAGGTGCAGAGTCTATGACTGAGGTCAAAGCTCCTTGTGAGAACAGCAAAGGCTGGAAGGGAATCCAAGTGGCCAGTTGGCCTCACAGAATCATAGAGACTATTTGTCCTTATTTTATTGGTTATGTTTTATTGAAAACACCTTATAAAACAAATATTTGAGTACTTATTATATATTTCCAGTGGAAGACATGATAATTTAAATGTGTAATTTATAAAATGGAATCATTTATTGACATTTTTGAAACAATAAAAAGGTCCCTGAACTGTTTCTATGTTGTTATTGTTGTTAGGTGCCACTGAGTTGTCTCTGACTCATAGCAACTCTATGTACAGCAAAACAAAACACTGCCTGGTCCTGTGCCAACCTCACAATCCCTACTATACCCAAGCCCATCACTGCAGCCACCATGTTGATCTATCTTTTTAAGGACCTTTCCCTTTTTCATTGACCGTCCACTTTCCCAACATGACATCCTTCTCCAGAGAATGGTCCCTTCTGACAACATGACCAAAGTAAGTGAGATGAAGTCTGGCCATTCTTGCTTCCAAGGAGCATTCCAGCTGCACTTCTTCCAGGACATATTTGTTAGTTCTTTTAGCAGTCCACAGTACTTTCAGCATTCTTTGCCAAGACCACAACTCAAAAGCATCAACTCTTCTTTGGTCTTCCTTATTCATTGTCCAGCTTTCACATGCCTAGGAGGTGACTGAAAATACCATGGCTTGGGTCAGGTGCATCTTAGTCTTCAAGGAGACATCTTTGCTCTTCAGCACTTGAAAGAGGTCTTTTGCAACAGATCTGCCCAATGCAATATGTCTTTTGATATCTTGACTGCTGCTTCCACTGGCATTGAATGTAGAACCAACCAATATGAAGTCTTTGACAACTTCAATCTTTTCTCCATGCTGCATATTTGTTCAGCTGTGAAGATTTTTGTTTTCTGTATACTGAGGTGTAACCCATACTGCATCAGTAAATGCTTTCAGCAAGCAAAGTTGTGTTGTCTACGTATTTCAGGTTGTTAATGAGCATTCCCCCAACCCACAATCCTGATGCCACGTTCTTCCTCATATAGTCCAGCATCTTGGATTATTCGTTAAGCATATAGATTGAATAAATATGGTGAAAGGATACAACCCTGATGCACTCCCTTCCTGATTTTAAATCATGCAGTATCCGCTTGTTCTGTTTGAATGACAGCCTGGTCTATGTACAGGTTTTTCATGAAAACACTTAAATGTTCTGGAATCTCCATTCTTCTCAATGTTATCCACAATTTGTCATGATCTACGCAACTGAATGCCTTTGCATATTCCATAAAACACAACTAAACACCTTTCTGATATTCTTTGCTGTGACCCAAAATCCATCTGACATTAGCTATGATATCCCTCGTACTATGTCCCCTTCTGAATCCAGCTTGCATTTCTGGAAGTTCTCTGTCTATATACTGCTGCAACTGTTTTTGAATTATCTTCAGTAAGATTTTAGTTGCATGTGATATTAATGATATTGTTCGATAATTTCCACATTCTGTCCGATCACCTTTCTTTGGAATGGGTACAGATATGGATATCTTAGTCAGTTGGCCATGTAGCTATCTTCCAAACTTCTTGTCATAGATGAGTTAGTGCCTCCAGCACAGCATCCGTTTGTTGAAACATCTCAGTGGGTATTCTGTTGATTCCCAGAGCCTTGTTTTTCAGCAATTCCTTCAGTGCAGCTTTGACTTCTTCCTTCAATACCATTCATTCTTGATCATATGCCATCTTCTGAAATGGATGATCATCTATCAATTCTTTTGGCATTGTGATTCTCTGTATTCCTTCCATCTTTTTTCGATGTTTCCTGCATCATTCAACATATTGCCCAAGGAATCTTTCAATATTGCAATTTGAGGCTTAAATTTTTTGCTCAGTTCTTTCAGCTTGAGAAATGCCCAGCGTGTTCTTCCCTTCTGGTTTCTCAACTCCAGGTCTTTGCACATTTCATTAAAATAATTGACTTTGTCTTCTCAAGCTGCTCTTTGAAATCTTCCATTCAGCTCTTTTATCCTGTTGATTCTTCCATCCACTTTAGCTACTCTCTGTTCAAGAGCTAGTTTCAGAGTCTCTTCTGACATCCATTTTGGTCTTTTCTTCCTTTCCTGTCTTTTTAATGACCTCTTGCTTTCTTCATGGATAATGTTCTTGATGTCATCCCACAATTCCTCTGGTTTTCGGTCACTGGCGTTCAGTGCATCAAATCTATTCTTTTGATGGTCTCTTAAATTCAGAAGGGATATAATCAAAGTCATATTTTGGCTCTTGTGGGCTTCTTTTAATTGTTTTCAGCTTCAACTTGAACTTGCATATGAGCAGTTAATGGTCTGTTCCACAGTCAGCTCCTGGCCTTGTTTTGGCTAAGATATTGAGCTTCTCCATCACCTCTTGCCACAGGTGTAGTGGCAAGATTCCTGTGTACCCTGTCTGATGAAGTCCACATGTATAGCTGTCATTTGTGCTGTTGAAAAAAGGTATTTGCAATGAATAAATCATTGGTCTTGCAAAATTCTATCGTGAGATCTCCAGCAACATTCCTATCACCAAGTCCATATCTTCCAACTACTTCTTTGTTTCCAACTTTTGCATTCCAGTCACCAGTGATAATTAACATATCTTGATTGCATGTTCGGTCAATTTCAGACTGCAGAAGTTGGTAACGATCTTCAATTTCTTCATCTTTGGCTTTGGTGGTTGGTACATAAATTTGAATAATAGTAGTATTAACTGGTCTTCCCTTAGGTGTATGGATATTATCCTGTCACTGAGAGCTTTGTACTTCAGGACAGATCTGTCTCTATAGTTATGGATTAAGATTTACTTGGCTAAGTCTAACCTTGTCACACTGAGTTAAGAAGGGAATTACATTAGAAATGATAATAATAATATAGTCAAAAAATCCTCAATCTGTCCAAACTGCATATTAAAGTAAAAGATTAAGCACAATTTATTGAGAGTTCAGGCAGAACATGTTAAAGCTCAGTTGTGAATGTAATTAGAAAATATACATTCTATATTTTTAAAGAGAACTTTTAAACTAAAAAAAGAAAAACTATACTTACCTTGAATGAGTTGGCACCAAAGGGTAGAGACTCTCCATAGTATCGATGTTCAGCAAACACCAACATAGCTTTCAGTTCCTCAGCCACATCCCACATGAATCCCTAGAAAGATTTTATAGACACATGGATGAAATCAGGATGTGAAAAAGGTCACTGAACCTACTTTGCAAACCATATGAAATTGATGTTAAAAAGATCAAAAAGAAATCTCTAAGAAGTATACAATTTATGTTTGTTCTACAGAGAAATGATTTAATTGCTATTTCATTGTTACACATCAATCTCATAATGGATTAGAGTGAAATGTTTAAGAATAAGCATTGTTGTTGTTGTTGAAAATAAGCATGTTATCCTAACATGCTAGCCCTAGAATCAACATTATTTTTAAAATACTCTTCAAATTTTTATCAAGTTGTACTGTGTGCAAAATATTCTAGGAAACTGCTGAGGATATTTATGTTATCCTCCCACTCACAGGCACTTACAACATAAAAAAACATTACTAATAAGCACACTGGACTCCTTGTGGGGATTTACATACTTTCTTTATTTGTTAAATAGCAGCTAGCAGCTAAATTGAGGGTTTACATTGTGTCAGGCTCTGTTCTAAGCACTTTATATGCATTAATTCATTTAATTATCAAAATAAACAATCTTAGGGATAGGACTTTGATTATCCTCCTTATTCTGCACCTATAGCCTGTCACTAGCGATCACTGCATTTGTTTCACTCACCTCAGCTGTGGCCTAAGAATCCTCAACAAGCATTCTGGGCAGTCAGTATCAATTGATTCGACTTAAAATTAGCACAAGGAGCCCTAATGGTACAGTGGTTAAGTGCTCAACTGCTAACCGAAAGCTCAGCAGTTCACCCCCCACTTCATGGGAGAAGGATGTGGTAATTTGCATCCATAAAGATTTATAGCTTTGGGACAGTTTTACCACACACTATGTGATTGCTATCAGTCAGATTCAACTAGATGGCAACAGGTTTTGGGTATTTTTTTTTTTTTAATTTAGCACAGAAGATTAAAACTATTTGCTATTCCTAGCGCCATTGTTGTTTCTTAGTAAGTTACTACACTCTAAGGACTAAGAATTTCTAAATGTCTTTGTTGTGATAAATAAATGAACAGTTAGAAGATCAGTATGCCTGTTAGGATGGAGAATTTAACTTGATTATCTATTATGGTTTTGATCCCACTTGCTCCCTTAAAGCCCTACTCACTCACTGCCATTTGTCTGCAGAAACATGCAGCTCAGTCCCCTCCTCTGACTGACTTACCTGGCATGCTCATCACTCCCTGCATCTATTTCAGGAATATCTTTATTTCCCCCACAAAGGTCCATATTAATATTTAACATTATGTGCCAGTACTGTCCCAAGTTCCTTTTTTTTATTTATTTAGTACCTATAACTCTAGGAACTAAACATTTATGAACTAACAGCTATATTATTTATATTATTTTCTATCCTCATAAATTTAAGAAAACTAGTAGGAAAGTGAAATTAAAATATAGCTACAACTTTATCTTCGCCCATTCCTATATGATTATCAAACTTATATTGTTTTCTTCTTATTTTGCATTGGCTTCATTTAGGTTTTATTCCTTTATTCACCTAGCAAATATTTATTGAGCACCTATTATAAGCCAGGTATAGTCCTGAACTCTGCGAACGCAACACTGAATAAATAATAAAAAAAATCCATGCCCTTGTGTAGTTTTATGGGCCATAAACAAAACAAATCATAAACAAAATAATTAAGTTAGTAAGTGGAATGTTTGTGATATGTGCTATGGAGAAAGACAAAGCAGGAGAGGAAGACGGAATATATAAGGGGCTCAATTTTAAATACAGCATTCAGAGGAGAAATTAAAATATATATATACCTTTTATAGAAATTTTGAAAAATACAAATAGGCAAAAATAACATAATAAAATCATCCATAATCCTATCATCAAGATGACTACAGTTAATTTTGGTATATGCTCCCCCAGTCATTTTTTGATACAGATAGAAGATTTGTTTGGTGATAGTGTGTTTTGTTTTCACAAAATTGGGATCCTACCATCCCACTATAACCATTAATTGGGATAGGAGGGTCCTAATTTTATAAAAACAAAACAAAAAATACATTTGTCACTTTTTTTTTAATCTAAACAATAAATTGTGACCATCTTCCCATGCACTAATGTGTCCTTCTCTAACAGTGCTCTTTAGATGGGAGGAAGAAAGAGGATCAGAATCCTCAGAATCCTGAGTCCACATGAATTGAGAATCTTGGTGAAGAATGCAAACAGATGAAAGTAGTATATAATAAAGTGCTGCTGGTAATTCTAATCTGTACAAACCTCTTCCTCCTTTAAATAACTCCTCATTCAAATTTGAGAATGCTTATTCTAAAACTGCTAGCCAGAAGGTTGGTGGTTCAAACCTACCAACTGCTCAGTGGGAGGAAGATGAAGAAATCTATTTCCGTCAAGTTTTATAGCCTTGGAAACCCAATGGGAGTCACTATGAGTCGGAATCAACTCGATGCTAGTGAATTATTCCAAAACAGTATTATTGATGGAAGTATTTCATTGTATGACTGCAACTTAACGTATTTAATCACTCCTATGTCATTAGGCATTTAGTTGTTTTCATTTTTTCATTATTATAAGGAGCTTTATGATTCCATTAGTGGAGTGTCTTATTTCCCCACAGCCTCATTCACTCCAGAAATTAGCCAGGATTTGTTTTTAATCTTCTAAAATTTGATTGTTCAAAAATGCTATTTCATTCTTTTAATTTGCAATGCCTTAAAGTTAAACATGTAGGTTCACTGGACATCTCTATACTTTTGTGAAGAGCTTATTATTCTTCTACTACTATTGTGTTTATCTTTTTGTTTTTTCTATAAAGAATTTTACAGTTAAGTAAATAATAATACTTGATTGTATATATTGCAAATCATTTTTTTAAATTTATTTAATAAAAGGTAAATTGCTTCCATAGAGGAATTTCACAAATTTGTACATACCGTATTATTGCAAAACCAGATAATATCCCCTTCATTACCAGTGTAAAAAAGTATTGATCCACCATCTTTTTTCCAGTATTTATCAGCTATTAGGTACCTCTGTTTAAAAGTTTTATTAACATCAAATCCAAAATGATCAACCTAGGATAAAAACAAAACAAAAAAGACATTTTAAAAAATTAAATGAAATCAAGATAAAGTAATCAAATTAATTCTTCCATCAAAATCAACCTATACTACAAAAATAATCACAAAAATTGGTTTTATCATTAGGAGAAATAGTGATACTGTTATTTTTAAATTATTTTCTTTATATTATAATAAAAAGCAAATAGGCAATCATTTTTTTTTTATTAGCAATCAAGATTTTTAGTGTAAGAGAAAAGATACAATTATAAAATTAAAGTAACTATTTTAAAACACAGTCATGTTAAAATTGAACTGGGAATAACAATATGAACCCATGATTTTTTAAAATAAAGATACCAGTTCTATTTGAATTTTCATCATCCAAATGTTCAGTATCAAAATTCAAGAATTAAAGAGAAGAGTGAAAACACTGTCACCTCAGCCAATGACAACAGGCATTTCAAGTGCCAGCATTTTGGTGTCTAACATGCACTGAAAGGAACAAGGGCTTGTGAGTGAAGTGGCTGATTGATATGTAGGACGAAGAAGCTACAAATGAGTCTACACTTCTTGCTCTGCTAGGAAGCAAGAAGTGCTCAGTGATTAATGGAATTACATCTAACAGACATAGGAGCCAACTTCAAGGGACTATCACTGGCTAGTTTTAACAATTTGAACATAAAAAGAATAATGATTATCTATCAACCAACAGTAAGAGAAGCTTTATGCTCAAGATATTGCTTAACAGATGGACTGGTTTCTGTTGGACACTAAGTACTGCTACCAAAAAAAAAAAAAAAAAAAAGTAATGATTGCAGTTGACTGGAATACTCAATTCAAGATAATCTATCAGTCCCTAATTATATCAAGAAAGCAAGAAAAAAAACAATTTGCCACTATTTAAGGTGATTATTAAACTAAGTCCATACTTTGAAAGTAGGAAATAAAAAAGAAATGAATTTGACACTCAATTTGCCTTTCCAACAGAACTGCACTGCAGGGTATTAAACAGTCCTAGTTGATTAGGAAGAACTCTGTTTAATCAAATGCCAGCTAATAAATGGAGAAAGAATAACAGAACTAGAAAAATGATAGTCTGTCAATCCCTAATGAAGTTACTAATTAGGACAAGAATTATCAATTGCTGTTAAAAGCCTTAGGAGAATGGATGATAGGGAAATGGACATTTGTATGGTACCAAACTGCTAAATATATACTATAAAAGAAACAGATATTCTATAAAATACTTAATCATCTCTTCTCACAAGGAGAAAATGTAACTTTGCAGTGAAGGGATCACGCTGTCATCACTTTAATCTAGTGACCAATGTTAGCATCACTAATGGTGGGGCACTAATGTATCTCCTCATGTGGTAGATGAAGCATATATTACATATCACAAATTTTTGCCCAAAATGTTCACCATGTATCTATTTCAGTCATTAGATCTAATCTGTAGTTTCAAAGAAATACAGAGGGTATAAAAACAAGTCACTTTAAAGAAGCAACCAGACAAATCCCAAAGTGGAATATTGTACAAGATGATGGTAAGGCAATGTCATGAAAAACAGGGTTGTTTTAAATCCAGTCAATCGTAATGATGTGATAATTGGAGCTGTGTGTCAACTTGGCTGGACCACAATTCTGAGTGGTTTAAGCAGTTGTGACGTGGGTTATTCCCATGATGAGATCGGATGCACATGTTTTGAGCAGCTAATCCATTGAAAGGGAATTTCCCTAGGGGTGTGGCCTGCTTCCAATATATTTATGGACATCCCGGGAAAAGAGAAACTCTTCTGTAGATCAGAATTCTGTTGTGCTGTCTACAGCTGTCTGTGAGTGAACAATCCACCATTCAGCCTGGAAATCTTGGATTTGTCATTTGTTGGAGTCAACAGCCGATATACTGACTGCTGCCAACCTTGAGCTCGTCAGCCTCTGCAGCTGCGTGAGTCTGGAAAAGCCTCCAGTTTGACATTTGATCCAAGAACTTGGGACTTGCCAGCTTCTATAAGTGTGTGAGCCATTTTCCTAAGATAAAGTTCTCTCACTACATATATACATACATACATATATATTTATATATAAGCTTTACTGGTTTTGCTTCTCTAGAGAACTCAGCCTAACACAAAGGAGCATAGTAACCAGATGAAATGCATGACCTTGGCCTGGATCCTGATTTGAACAAACAAGCTATAAGTGACAATTGAGTTATTTAGGGACAATTGGGTTAATATAAATATGGACTGCATATTATGGATAACACCACAAAGAATGGGAATCCCAGAACACTTAATTGCATGCATGAGGAACCTGTACACAGACCAAGAGGCAGTCATTCAAATAGAACAAGGGGATACTGAATGATTTAAAATCAGTAAAGGTGTGTGTCAGGGTGTATCCTTTCACCACACTTATTCAATCTGTATGCTGTACAAATAATTTGAGAAGCTGGACTATATGAAGAAAAATGCAGCATCAGGATTGGAGGAAGACTCATTAACAACCTGCGATAGGCAAATGATACAACCTTGCTTGCTGAAAGTAAAGAAGATTTGAAGCACTTACTGATGAAGATCAAAGATTATAGCCTCACATATGGATTACATGTCAATATAAAGAATTTAAAATTCTCACAACTGGACCAATAAGCAACATCACAATAAATGGAGAAAAGACTGAACTTGTCAAGGATTTCATTTACTTGGATTCACAATCAACACCAATGGAAGCAGCAGTCAAGAAATCAGATGACATATTGCACTGGGCAAATCTGCTTCAAAAGACCTCTTTAAGTGTTCAAGAGCAAAAATGTTATTTTGAAGACTAAGGTGTGCTTGATTCAAGCCATGATACTTCCAATAGCCTTACATGCATGTGAGAGATGGACAATGAAGAAAGAAGACCGCAGAAACATTGATGCATCTGAATTGTGCTGGCTAAGAATATTGAATGTACCATGGACTGCTAGAGGAATAAATAAGCCTGTCTTGGAGGAAGTAAAGCTAGAATGCTCTTTAGAAGCAAGAATGGCCAGACTTCATCTCTCATACTTTGTCAGAAGGGATCAGTCCCTGGCAGAAGGATTTCATGCTGAGTAAAATAGAGGGTCAGCAAAAAAGGGGAAGACCCTTGCTAAAAGGGCAAGGAGGCCACATCTTCTGACCTCCTCTAACCACACAAGAGGAAAACAGAATCACTATCAGTAGCCCAAGGCCCATTACTGTGAGGTCAGACATGCTCCTCCCTCCAGCCCTCTCACCAACCCTGACACCAACCTTTCTTCCCACAGCACCCACCACCTTTCTGCTGGGTTCGACAATTTACTGCAGTGGCCACAAAGAACTCACAGATTATGGGGTTTATTAGGAAAGCACCAGGTTACAATTCAAGTTCAGGAAAAACGTTCAGTCTCTCTCAGCCTGCCATCTCTCAGCAGTCTCTCACAGTCTCTCTCCCAGCAGTGCCTGTCCCTCAGTGTCTCACTCAGCAATGTGTGTCTCTTGCATCTCTTTCCCAGCAGTGCGTGTCTCTCAGGACCGTGTGTCTCTTTCAGCAGCATGTCCTCCTCAGCCAGCAGTCAGAGAGACCTCTTCTGCCTGTAGGAGGCCTCCTTTTGAAAAGCCTGGCCAAGTGGCCAAACTAACCAATCATAACATCAGAATTCTAAGCACCTGAGAGAGAGCTAACTTCCCAGAGCATTACTTTGTGCTGCTCCCAACAGAAATACCCCAGGTGGATGATTTTAACAATCCAGAGCTACTCAGTTTCTCACAGCAAATTCCACCATGAAGTTTACAAAGACTTATGGCTAGAAAAGCCATACCAGATAATTTACTACAGTTCAACCCTAAATAAGATGGATTGACATAGTAGCTGTGAAGACGGGATCAAGTATGGCAACAATTGTGAGGATGGCACAAGACCAGGAAGTTTTTGTTCTGTTGTACGAAGTACAACAGGGTCAAAACCAACTCAATGTCACTTAATAAAAACAACAAGGACTTTTTGTTAGTTTTGTTATGTGTGATCATGTTATTTTGGTTACATAATAAAATGGTTTTGTTTTGTTTTTAATTTTTCAGCTATACACTGAAGAATTTAGAGATAGAATATCATGATGCCTACAATTTACTTGAAAATACTTCAGCATGAAAAAGTAAAGTGTAGCAGAAAATTTTGGAAACAGATAGTGGTGATGATTGTATATCACGATGAACATAATTAATACCACTGAATTGTAGATGCGAAAAAATCCTGGAATGTGTTTTACATACATACCTACCACAATATGAAAAGAAAATTAAAAAAGTAAAGTGAATTCAAAAGAAGAAACATTTAATCTATATAAAAGAGACAAAACACACAAAAAACACTTGCAAGTAAGACTTTGCAAGGCCAGATAATATACATGTCAATAAAAATCACACAATAATTTTAAGGTTAAATTGAAATCTGAATATAATTTTTTTTGAGATATCTACTCTTCCCTTAAACTTACCATTTAAAACAGTATTATCAAATCTTATAACATGTGAAGATTCATGTACAACTGTCAGAATTTACAGTTACCCCATGGTATGGAGCCCCACTGAGTCTTCAAGGTCTTAGGGGATGGATTCCCCAGTGCTTTGGAGGGGCAGGAGTGAGAATTGAGCATCTGGTCCAGAGCAGACAGAGGGTGATCCAGTGCTGCTCCAGGCTCTTATGGGAGGTGTTGGTTCTGCCATAAACCAAAGCCCTGCACGACTTCCAGAGGCCATTCTAAAACAGATGGGACTTGGCTCAACTTTCAGCTAAATGATAGGCCTGTAAGGTGAATAATAATACCAGGAAGGTAAACATTCATCAGAACAATCAACCACAGGAGATCAAAAGGGTAGCTTTTGCCCAGAGATAAAGCTAAGAGGCAGGAAGGGCTAGGAAAGGACAACGGGAAATGGTAAACACAGAAGGAAAGTGGGAAGAGTGCTGTTCCTTTGTAGGGACTGCAACCTATGTCTCAAAACAAA